TTGTATGTGGCTACAGACTACATAAAGGATGACGTCTCCCTCTCCTCAAGAAATATCTTCACGAAGCATTCGATCAGGTAGAGATTCTGCTAGCCCAATGGATATCAACAATTTAATTGAAGTTGATAATGAGGCAGAAAAAGTGCCTTCTCTTGGAGATGAAGAGTTAGGCAGTGCCGATGAGGCCGAGGCCGAGGAGATCGAGGAAGACCCCAATGAAGCGGCTGAACAAATTGACAATTTGGAAGCATTCAGAAAAAAGGAAAGGGCGAAAACATCAAAAGCTTGGGACGATTTCAAAGAAGTAGATGTTGGTGACGATAAGTATTATGAGTGCAAACATTACAAAGTCAAACTGAAGAAAACCAAGACGAGCACAACAACTAGTATGTTGAGGCACCTGTCGCCATGCACCGTGAAATTGAAAAAACTGAGGCAACCGCAACAACAAAAGATTAATTTTCCAACAGCTAATTCAAGCATACCTCATCCATATCTTCATACTGGCAAATTTGATATGGCCGCGATGAGAGAATCTGCTGCCGAATGGGTACTAATGCATGAGCATCCTTTTTCAATTGTCGAGGAAGATGGATTCAACCTGATGCTGAAAAGAGAAATACCCGAATGGCAAAAGATCATCTGAACTACAAACAAAAATGATTGCAAAGAGATATACGAGAGGGAGCAGTCCAAACTGAAAAATTTGTTCAAGAAAGTCCAGAAAATCAGCTTGACCACTGATCTTTGGAAGTCAAAAAATCAGAAGATTGAATATATGGTGATAACTGGGCATTGGATCGATAGGCAATGGAGATTGCAAAAACGAGTCCTCAACTTTGTGCATATTCCCCCTCCACGGCGCGGTGTGCAAATTGCAGATGCTATATTCAAATGATTGCAAGAGTGGGGCATTGAGAGTAAAATCTATACGGTGTCGGTGGATAATGCCTCAAACAATGACACCGCATTGAGAGCCTTGAAGGATATCTTTTCGAGAAACAAGTTTATGTTGGCAAAAGGGCGTTTATTTCATGTACGATGTTGTGCACATACATCAATTTAATGGTCCAAGACGGCATAGGTGAAATCAAGGATATTGTGGATGTGATAAGAAGTAAGGTGGATTTTATAAATAAAATAGACGGGCGACGTCTTCTCTTTGCTCAAATTGTCCAGCAACTGCACTTACCTGGAAAGGCATTAATCTATGATTGCAAGACAAGATGGAATTCAACCTTTGAGATGTTGGCTTGTGTAGTCAAATATCGAGAAGTTTTTCTCGATTCCAAGATAGAGAGCCGCATTTTGGACAATGTCCGACCGCCGAGGATTGGGATAAAGTGGAGAAGGTTTGTAATATTTTGCAAGTTTTTTGGACAGCTACTCATGTGATATCCGATAGTGATTATCCTACAGCTAATCTATATTTAAATGAAGTTTGTCAGATAAAAGGGCTACTCGATAGTAAAGCCGATGATGAAGATACTTTTGTTCAGTCGATGGTTCAAAAAATGAAAGTGAAGTTTGATAAATATTGGGGCGAGTGCAATTTGTTAATGTCCATCGCAGCAATCATGGATCCGAGGTGCAAAATGAAGGTCATAAATTATTGTTTTCCACTTATGTATCCTTCTTACGAAGTGGAACTGAACATAAGTAAAGTTCGGCAGACATTATATGATTTATATGATGAGTATGTCGAGATGTACAATTCGGGTTCAAGCGGCCAAAGCGTTACTCAAAATTCTTCCAGTTCCAGCCCGAGCCCCAGTCCATCAGTAGCTGTAGCACCTTATTCAGGCATGAGTGAATTTCTCACTCATGTTTCAGCCAGTGAGAGTGTTCGACCAGAAAAAAATGAATTGGATTTGTACTTTGAGGATGGCCTGCTTACTGCCAAAGATAACCCAGGTGTGGATATTGTGAATCTAGATGCACTCAAGTGGTGGAAAGACACATCAAAGTACAAGATATTGCCAAAGATGGCTATTGATATCTTAGCCATACCTATCAGCACGGTTGCTTCAGAAGCTACATTCAGTGTCGGAACCAGAGTGATTGGTGCTTATCGTTCTTCCTTGGCACCGGAAACTGTCGAGATGTTGATGTGCGCTGGTGATTGGTGTCGTAAGCAACATGGCATCAAGAAAAAAGATAAGGTAAACACACTAAAATTTTAAGAACATAATTCCATGTCAATAGATTAAACATTCTTTTATTCTGAATTGTGTTTTATTTTTATTTGTTTATAGAAAGTGAAGTCAGCCCAAGAAGTCTTGTTGCCTATTCCTTGAAGGTTATCAGTTTTTTTGTGTTTAATTTATAATTTTTTAGATATTTTTCTGATTTGAATATAATGTGTGTCATTCTGATTACATTTCTGATGGAATGTCTTGAATATTTCTAGGTGTTGGACTTAGACCTCTACATGCTGAAGAGGAAGGTCTAAGAGTGTTGGAGTGCTTGATATGGATGTTTAATGTTTATTGTCATTTTGAAAGTTCCAACTTCCAACTACTAAGTTTTTGATGTGTATAACTTGTTGGGCTAATTTGGATTATGAAATCTTGGACATTTTGTTGGTTATTCTGTTGGATAATTTGGATTATGAACTTTGAGGAATTTATTGGTTATTGCTCTGATTGTATTACTCTATTTTGTTAAGTATGTTTCAAGCAGGGTAGCAGGGAAATGAATGGATGATGGACTGATTTATGGTTGTGAAAGTTAAGTATTGGATGAATTGGATGATCACGGAAATGAATTGGATGAATTGCATTGTACTCTGTTTTGTTAAGTATTTTTGGGTTGTGAAAGTTGATACATATTTAATGTTGTCGGGCTTTTTTTGTGAAGAGTTGTTGGTCCAGGTTCAGTGTTTGGAAATTTTTCGAGCCGATCTCGAGCAATTTTTCGAGTCGAACTCGAGCTATTTTTTGAGCCTTAAGAATTCGAGCAATCTCGAGCCGAGCTCGAGTAATCGAGTTCTTTTGGCGAGTCGAGTCGAGCCTCGAAAATAAAGGCTCGACGAGCTCGAGCTCGAACTCGAACTCGAGCAGTGTTAAAAAAATTCGATCCCTACTCGATAAGGTCAATGCTCGACTCGGTTCGGTTCGTTTGCAGCTCTAACTCTCGTCCAGCGCGTAATGGCGTGTAAGAGCATCCGCATCGCTGGTTTTTTATTTTTATTTTTTTCGTTTAAGCGCCCTTGTATTAACATGGATGCGGCTCATCTATTAAAAAAGGGTCCATTTCTTTGTTCAAATCATTGGACGCCCGTTAGTCTGCTTTTTTTTAATAAAATCATATTTTATTATGCATGCTACGCATGATTTTGTTTTTTGTTTTTCTTTAAATAATTATTTATTTAACTTTTTTTTCTTTTTATTTTTATATTTTATTTATTTTCTATCTATATCACACTTTTTATTACAGATAAATTTAAATTTTATCTATATCACACTTCTCAATATGTATCGGTAATTTACATTTCATATTCTCATTCTTTGCCTATAAATACACCTCAGTTTGTCACTTCTCTTGCACAAAAAAATTTTTCACTTCTCTTACACCAGAAAATTTAGCAACTGTTCATTAGCAAAAAAAAAAAAAAGGATTCGATTATAAACAAAATTTTCAAAATTTCTCAAGTTCTAATTCTAGCAATCCAGATGAAATTCCAAATGAATAAACTCCCCTCAATGTGGTTCGTTGTTAGTGGGGTTTTGAAATTATATTAAAATAATATTTAAAATTAAATAATTAAAGTCGATTTGATTTTAAAATATGAGAGATATTATGTGCAGTGATGGTTAGTCAAAACTATGTGAGTGGATGAATAATGAATTAAGATTGATGTGATATATAGTAATGATTGTTTGATATTATTTAATTATATTAATAATATTGAAGATAATGGAGTTGAGTTAAAGTTGAGTTAGATTTTGAATTTAATAAATTTATAAACAAACACCCTAAGGCACAATTGTATATGAATCTAGTTGGCCGTGACTTGTTTATTTAGGTAAAATGAGCTAAAGTGAGTTATTTTGACTAAAGTAGATTGAGTGGGTGATATTGAGTTTGAAATTAAATAATATTTAAAATGTAATTAATAAAGTTGGTATGATGTAAAAACATGAGAAAGATTATTGGAAGTGATTGATAGTTAAAATTATGTGAGTGGATAAATAGTGAGTTAAAATTAATGTGATGTGTGAGAATGTTGATTATTATTATTATTTAATTATATTTATAAAAAGTAAAAGAGTTAAGAGAAGTTGGATTTTGAGTTAGATGATTGAACATGAAATAACACAACCGGTCATAATCGGTTAAAAACGATTATAACTCATTCCCAGTCATGCCCTAAGCGACCTGAGAGTTGAGCTTAACGAACCGATGTTCAGTTTTAACAAATTTGAATTATAGAAAATTACACAAAAAAAAAAAAGTAATTCAAACTTTATCAAGCCGAGCTCACGAACGGATCATTTCGTCTAAAAACTCATCTTTAAATGGTATGGTTATGTGGTAAAAAATCAATGCGTGAGAGTGATCCAACAATAAAAGTTCAATGAGGTTAGTGTCCTCATCAATATAATCAAATCTTCTGAATTTAACATAACCTAAGGTAGTTATGTTAATGTTTTGCAAGTCTAACACATAAATTTCATTATATAAAATATGACATTTCATAATACAGTTGCGCATTATTGTTATAGTGTATAACGAATCGATCTACCTAAAAGAAATTATACTTCGAGCGATGGTTACTCTATCAGTAATCAAATCAGCATAAATGTAATCGAAGAAGAAAATGTAATTACATTCCAATAAATTGACTTGCATTTTCCGACGAGGCTCAAACATATTCCAAGACATTAGTTCTTAAAAATACATCACGCTAATAAGTCGAATCTAAATCTTAATCAATTTTTCCACCTACCTATCAAAAATTATAATGTAATTAAAAGGCCTAGAGTATATTGAAAGATAGTTTGCCAATATACAACATCATTTTAGTTCTTTTTTTTTTTTTTT